TCTGTTTTTTTTTTTCTTTTTGCAAATTGTTAGGCCGACAGATGGATCAGAGAAGTGTTCGTTGCCGTTTAGAGTATCGGAAAGTAAGGAGTTAGTTGAATGGGAGAATTGGGCGAAGATTCAGCTCATGTCTTCTGGCTCTGACTTGCTTGGGAAGTTTTCTAATCTCCAGGTACTGTCTTCCTTCTGCTTTAGACCATGTCTGCATGCTCTGAGCATTCATATACTTTTTTTATGTCTGTAGCAGGACCGATCAATTTAGTAAAAGGCTATAGACAATTTAGTAAAAGGTTTATATAATATATTTTTTGTTTCTTACAAATTTGGGGGCCTTAGGTAAATGCTTACTAGCCTATGCTCTTGACCAGCCCTGGTCAGTAGCCAAGTAACATATGTGTACATATATTTGTTGCTCTTCTATTAAAAAAATTGAATTTTTTTATAGGGGCGCTATTAAGTAGTTCTATTAAAAAAGTTGAATTATTTTTTTAGGAGCTCTTTTAAGTAGTTCTGATCTTTGTTTGTTTGTAGTGAACTCTAAGCTTACTTTTTGTTTCCTGCAGCATTTAGTGTTTGCTAGAATGCTTCTGTTGAAGTTGAAAGATTTGTTGTTTGAGACTACTGCAACCGAAACATTTGAACTAAGAAGTGTTTCATGGTGGCTTGTCAGAGTTTTACTTATTCATCAGAGAGTTCTACACGAGCGATCTTCATCTTTGTTTGAGTTGTTGCAAGTCTATATGGCTGAAGCTCTAGAACATTTTGGAGCCTTGGAAAAAGTTGAAAGCTATTGGTCTGCCTTGTTGCTACAAGGCGAAGTTTCATCCATAACGTCAACCATACATCTGGAAGCATGTGTGTTGCAGTATATTTATGGACGAATTGATCCTTGTGGGTAAGTTATCTTTGTGATCGCATCGTCCTTGTCTACTTCGTACATGTTTATAGCTTCTGATGGCAGGATATTAACCTGAATACTTTTAGTTTCATCTGATATATACTTACAAAATCTAGTTTGGTGTCATCACAATACTTTGTCATTTTTTATCTACTATACTGCTATAGTATATTGGTCTTGAGTTGGAGTACAATTTTCAGGTTCCATCTTGAATCTGCTAAAGCAGCATCGAAGCTCGAGTTCTCTGTTAGTGGGGCTTTTGGATTTCGCACGATTCACCAAGTAAGCTATTATATAAAACATATATATATATGTTTGTCATATGTATTAGTATTTTGTTATTCTAAATATCTCTGATCTTGTTATAGGTAGAACCAAAGGCACAAATGGTATTAGTAGCCAATACTAGCTCATCCAATGGTGACGTGATGTTGGCCTCTGGTAAAGCTGATGTTGGACCTTATGAGGCTTGGGGAGTTGAAGCACCTGAAGTATACATGACTCCCAAACTAGTGAACGATGAGTGTGAAGCTGGCAAAGATTCTGCGACCTTAAAACCAGTCGAACAGGCAGTGATCTTGGCTCAGTGCCTTTTAATTGAACGGGGTAGTCGGCACAATGAGATGCAAAGTAAGTAATGTATTTGTAACATTTAATGTTAGTGTTCTGTAGAGAGCTTTGATGCAAAGACCGAAATAATGATCTGCGTAGTAAATTAATACCAGGCATCTCGTTACGGCGTTGCCAAATAACTATTAACTATAAAGACCGTTATGGAGAAGATGTCTGCTCTTTCTTGTGTTTGACTTGTACTGAACTGAATTGAACTCTGCCCTTTAGTTTTATTTATTATATTCTTATACCTTTTTCTCCTGCAGGATGGGATATGGCTCCATATATTGAGGCGATTGATTCTCAAAAGTCAACATATTTTGTTGTAAGCAACAGTCTTTTCAGTTATTTAATTGTATCAAGTGAATATTTATAAAATATGGAGTTGTTGGCTTTTCATTTGGCCATAACCTATGCAAGTGAAACAAGCTGACTGACTTTTGTTCTCCGGATTTGGTATTAGCTACGGTGTTTCTGTGACTTACTACGTGTTCGATGGGAATCAACTCGGGGTCGTACTAAGGGACGTGCCCTGGAGATGATGAATAAATTGGTATGTATGCATGCACTGCGAACATGATCGTAGTCAAATTAGTTTTTTCCCCTTTTGCATAGGACTTCTCCCTCGCTGAAACAGTCATTTGGTAGCGTTATTTCATTATGTCCTGTATCAGGTTGAAGCTATCAACAAGAGCGATCCTGGAGCATCAATAAGGATCCCTTTATGCTATGCAGTCCATCTTTCCACCATTCCTGCTTTGAGAAAGTAGGTATTTTTTTATGTGCATGTACATAAGTCCTTTTTGGATTTCCTTCTGTCTTATACATTATTCTAACAACAGGGAATACGGTGAGCTATTGGTTAGTTGCGGTTTGGTTGGGGAAGCAATCACTATATTTGAGAGCCTGGAGTTGTGGGATAATCTAATTAACTGCTACTGGTAAACTAAAAGTCTGAATTTTCATTTTCCTTTCCTTTTATGGCTTGTATGTTGTTTGAAAACTTTATTACGCAATGTGAAATTTCAGCCTTCTGGGAAAGAAATCAGCGGCTGTAGATCTCATCAATGCACAGCTTGCTGAACGGCCAAATGACCCCAGATTATGGTATTTGAATATTTAATAGTACCTTATTCTGCTCTCTTCTTGTTTTTTTTGTATATCTTACTAAATGGCTGTGAACTACTGGCTGTGAACTACTGTAACCATTAGTGGCTGTAAGGTGCCGTAATCATGTGATGCTTGATATTTCTTTCAGGTGTTCACTTGGTGACGTTACGATTGATGACTCCTGTTATGAAAAAGCCTTGGAAGTGTCAAATGATAAGTCAGTTCGTGCTAAGGTAGTTTGAGACACATAATAGAAAATTCTTATAGGTATTCACTCGGCACACGCTCTAATTATCTCTCCTTCTTATAGCGCGCTCTTGCTCGCAGCGCATACAACCGAGGCGATTTTGAGAAGTCAAAGATGCTGTGGTATGTGGAACAATTTGGCTCAGTTTCTTTAACTATTTTTCTTCCCAACTAGGAATATTTATAACACTTAGACTTTTAGGCTGATTTACTTTTGAGGTGCCTCATCTTTTCCTTCTTGTATAGGGAGGCTGCAATGGCCTTGAATTCTCTGTACCCGGATGGTTGGTTTGCTCTTGGTGCTGCTGCATTAAAGGTATATCACCAAACTCCACATCTTTTCCAATAGTTCATTAGCAATATTTTTTTCAATTCCAAATGTCATTTTGTATCTATAACGTATAAATTATAGGGATGCTAATTTAACATCTCTTACATCATAGGCCAGGGATGTTCAAAAAGCACTTGATGCATTCACCTTTGCGGTTCAACTTGATCCTGACAATGGAGAGGCTTGGAACAACATTGCCTGTCTGTAAGCACTTCAGTTTCACTATCTGCTCTGTTTATGCTGAAATTGCAGAGACAACTATATGTTTTTTTTTCACGCACGCCTTCCTATCTAACTCCACGTCACTGCTCACGTACTTTCACATTAACAATGGTTGCAGGCATATGATTAAGAAGAAGAGCAAAGAATCATTCATCGCATTCAAAGAAGCGCTTAAATTCAAGTATCTCTCTTCCCCTTACCATTTGTAACTTTAATCAGAAACTGATAGCGTTAGTTACACAAAAAAAAATAACATCGTGCATCAACAGGCGAGATAGCTGGCAGATGTGGGAGAATTTCAGCCATGTAGCTATGGATGTAGGAAATATTGATCAGGTATAGGCAGCTAAATATCTGTTTTGACTTTTTAGCTTAGGAGTTAGACGAGTTGGTTTCATCTGTGCTTTTTTTTCTTTTTTCAGGCCTTTGAAGCTATACAAAAGATACTGAGCATGAGCAAAAACAAGAGGGTCGATGTTGTTTTACTGGACCGTATAATGACAGAGTTAGAAAATATGAATTCAGCATGTAAGTCATCCTCTTTATCGGTTGAAACTGAAACTCCTTCAGATGAATCAACGGAAACAAAACTGTGTGCTGCGACACCAGCTGAAACTCAGCGTCACTTAGAGTTGCTTGGGAAAATTATTCAGCAGGTTAGCAAAAACATTTCAACATCTAGTATTTATCTCACTGTCTGAGTTCTGTATAGTACCTCTGTGATTCTTGCTTGGGATAATCTTTTTTTTTACATATATAGATTGTCCGAACAGAAAGTACATCTGAAATATGGGGATTATATGCAAGATGGAGTAGAATCAAAGGAGATCTTATGGTATGCAGCGAAGCACTGTTGAAGCAAGTGCGCTCATATCAGGTATTCATGAGTAATGATTAATAGAAGCCGTTCTTTGTTCGATGACTCAGCTTCATTTGATAACATATGTTTGATGATATATCTCTGGCAGGGATCAGAAGTGTGGAAAGACCAAGAACGTTTCAAGAAGTTTGCAAGAGCATCATTGGAACTTTGCAGAGTCTACATGGAGATCTCAGTGTCCACAGGAAGCAAGCGAGAGCTCTTTAGTGCTGAGATGCATTTGAAGAACACAATCAAACAAGTATAATAAACCAAAACCATAATTCATTAATCTCCACAATTACTTGAAAAGATTTAAAATGATCAGACTGAATAAATGGTGACATGTGTGTGTAGGCCACAGCGAGCTTCCCGGAGAGTGAAGAGCTGAAGGAGCTTGAAAGTTGCCTTGAGGAGGTGAGAAATGCTATGGAGAAGAGTGAAGAGACTTTACAAAATACAAAAACATGAATGTCATGAAAGAAGAAAGATAAGTTGGTAGTATCTGGCTTCTGAGTGTTTGTAACATTTTTTTGTTGTTGTGCGAGTCAAACGTTTTGTATTTGGATCCATGGCTTTGGTCGTGGACTGGCTTACTTTCTACCAATTACATCATGACACCTGTATTATTATTATTTCCCATAGAGAAATCAGTTTTGACACGAAAACGCACTTAAAAGAATAAAAAAATAGAAAACAAAATCGTTGATCTGTTTGTTGGTATGGTTTTGCTGAATCATCTCCATCCTCAAGTTTCGATAGCCGCATCGCCGGATTACATTCATCGCCGGAAAAGCCTCCACGATGTGCTTCTGAGCATGAGATTAACGCGAGATCTCTCTCTGAAACGGTCATTGGCCTACTACTATTCCGTATCTCGGCAACAACAGCCTAATTCGCCCATCACCATGGCCACGAAGAGCGAGAAGACTTCCACGGAGGAGAAGAAGGATAAGGAGGAGGAGGTTTCACTCCCTCCGCCGCCGGAGAAACCAGAGCCTGGAGATTGTTGCGGTAGTGGATGCGTGCGATGCGTTTGGGATGTGTATTACGAAGAGCTCGAAGATTACAACAGGCTCTCTACTTCCATTCATGGACAAACTAAATCCAGTTGAATGCTGGGAGAAATAATTAAAACATATTTTATTTTTGTGTGCTTTTGTGTTCATGTTTGAGAAGTCGAATATCTTGAATATTATTGGATCATTGTCGTTACTACTAATCTATATAAGTTACTAACGACTTGTCAAGTTTTAAGTAAACGTTATGAATGAATCGCGAGTAATGACTATTTGTAACGAACATAAAATGATTTCAATCAATGTATATCTGAGTTCTGTTTCAATCAGAGTTAAGATTTGTATAGTAGTAGTTGCATATAAAACAAGTCGTTGATTCTTTTGGCTTCTAAAGAAAAAACGAGAAAGCAATTTGATTGATTCACAGATGGATTGTAAATGCAGAGCCTTGCTAGAGTTACCTTTGAGGAGCTTTGACAAGAACAGAGATGTGGAGATAGAATTCTGGGTTCATCAAGTTATTTACTACCCACGAAAACGGTATCTCTAGTTTCATTTCAATCCCTTGGATTCTTATCAGTTTTATTTCTCCCCTCGTCTCCTGCGACCCTTCTGCTTCTTCTGATACATCTGTTGTTGTTCGTTCTTCACCCTCTTCTCCACTTGTTTGAGCTCTGTCTCCAATGTACTCCGGGAGGAGAGTTTCAATGGCGTCACGCAAAGTAAAGCATTTCCCTGTAATAAGATACTGGAACTAATCAGTTATCTCACTAACACAAGCGAGAGATTCAACAACAGTAGAATTCACTTGTTACAGAAACTATGAGGGGTCTATGAAGCCAATCTCTTATTATTAGTGAAGATAATAATAGACAATGCAGCGGATCTTTGTTTTTGTTTTTGTATCAAAATGCAGCTGATCTTTGAGATGATGAAACTAGTACCTTCTTCTCTGAGGAACTCAACAGGGCGATTCAAGTACGAGATCTCATCCCATGTATCCATCTCAGGTACATCTTCAAGAAACTCGAAATTTTCATTTACACTTCGAACATACAGCCGAACAGGAATCCTTGCTGGAAAAAAGATAATCACAAGTCAAGAAAATTAGGAAACCATTACTATGCGTCATTATTCTATTCCTATTAAGTTGCTTCTGTTTACTAGATTTATTATAAGAGGGAAGTACTATTTACTGCCACCGCTAGGTCTATGTCACTTCAAACTGAATTAAATTATTTGGAGCTGAGTTTATAGTAGGCAAACCTGTCTTAACTTGTCCAGCCATATCTATCTCCGTCCCACCTTGTCCCGAGATTGGAGATGACAAACCTTCTTTTCTTGAATACTCATCTTCGATATTTCCCATTTTAAGCTTGGGTAATAATCTTGTGTAGGCCTCAAGATCACCTGCCAAACCATCGGTTTTCAGAATTCGATACTGAGTCTTTGATGATGATAGTAACATTTGATAATGCTGAACGCAAAAGCTACATCTAGTGGTGATTCAGAGGTATAACCAGAAGTATTGCCGTAACAAAGAATGATACTGGGTATGCGATTGATGATATTTTTATATGCATCACAGGGACAACACGTACCGTTCATAACAGAGGTCCACATATCCTCTTGATCATTCTGAGACATATTCATAACATTCTTACAGTTTCCATTGATGATATATGCCGCCTGCAGGAAGTAAAACATTGTTAAAATAGCAGACAGGAGAAGCCTATGGCTACTCCACTAGAGAATGACCGATCAGTTTCACCAAAAACAAAACTCGCCACACAATCATTCGCCGTCATTACCAGTTATACACATCTTCAACAACCTATGAAATTTTATGACCCTCAGAACTTAACATAGGGAAATGGTAAACATGGCAGTAGACAGAGATGTAAAAGGTATTCTCCCAATCACACTATACATCAAAATGCAGCACTTATGATGGTAAGAAAATCTTTCACAGTATGCAGCGTTTCTTTGGAAAGCAGACATTTCACTTGAAGAGACAAGAAAAAAGGTAGAGAAGTTTCCACAAACCTCTTTCAAAGAATTAACAAAGTTCCACTTGACAGAATCTTCTCCTTCACATGGAAGCAGTACATTGGTAGGATATCCCCTAAAGTGTATCTGCAAGTAAAAAAGTTTCCAAAAACCTCAAGAACAGCAAAGATAAAAGGAACTGAGGTTTGTGTATCCTAATACATCCACTAAGGTAATCTCTCAAACAGAAGAAGCTAATGAAGACTAGAGATAGAGAGAAAGCTTACAGTGAGATTCCAAGGTCGTTCAGGTTCAGCGCATAAGAGATCAAAAAGAACACCTGTTGGTATATACCTGCAAATACCAAACAAGACTCACCTCTCCACTTAAAAACATATCACCAAATAATAAAAAAAACAGTTATAACTAAAATATGGTAACAGATTGAACAATGGGAGTACCATTTCAAAGGAACTCCTTTGTAATCAAACCAGATAGACTCTTCACCAGGAGGAAGTGAATCCTTGAAGTAAGGCTTTATCAGAGGAACCAACAGAGGCAAGTACCCTATCCTTGGTGCTAACACCTGATTAATAAAATATACATAGAGATTACTTATCTAATCCAATTTATAATCCAATCCTCTTAATTCAAATTATAATCAGTTGATTCAAACCCTAAAACCGATCCAACAACCCGAAATTCGATCGTGATCCAACTAACAAAGAGAGGAAGGGATTTACAAGAGCAGGAGGAGGAGCAGGGTGAGAAGCGACTTCGGATTTGTGGAGATGGATTTGTAGTGGAATTGCTCCTTCCCATACATACTTCACCGCTTCTTCATTCGCCGCCATTCTCTTCGTCTTCTCCTACGTCTCCGTCGCAGCTTCTCTCTATAACGATCTTTCCCGTGACGTCATCTTCTCTTTCGTGTACAGTACTGATAAAAGGCGTACGTTAGAGTATAAAGTCAGTCGCAAGCTAACTTGATCCGTACCGAGTCATAGATATGCGAATAAGTCTATATCGGTTTAATCTGGTTTAGTAAGTATCCCAAGTTGGGTTATTAATCACTAAATTATAATTCGAGGTAAGATCATCTCAATTTCACTCAAAAGTGTATTATGTACTGGTTTTGTAGACTTTTAATTTCGGTCTGGATTCGGTTTCTACTACTTCCTGGTTTAGTTTTGATTTTGAACTTCATTAGAGGCAACAAAACAATAAATAATTTAATTAAATTTCGGTTTGGTTTTCAAATCGGTTCGATCATTATAATCACTAGATTAAATTCTGAGGTAAGATGATCTCAATTTCACTCAAAAGTGTACTATATACTGGTTTTGTAGACTTTTAATTTTGGTTTGGATTCGGTTTTTACTACTTCCTGGTTTAGTTTCGATTTAGAACTTCATTAGAGGCAACAAAACAATAAATAACAGAATTAAATTTTGTTTTCAAATCGGTTCGATCATTATAATCACTAGATTAACTCAAGTGAAAAACATTGTACAAGTGGGTTTACAGTAAAGTAACAAATTAAGCCTAAAACAACAAAAACACCTCGAAGAACACAATGAAACAACAACAACAACAACAAAAACAGAACCTTTTGATGAACATTAAGAAGTTTAATGAATATGTGGAAAACTAAAGACTTGAGTACCTCAGAAAATGTCATAATTATAAACAGAGACGAACCTCTTCTTGTTCTTCTGCCTCTATAACCATCTTTCTCTTCTTGTATGGACCAAACCCTCTTGAATTAGACTCAGAGTTTGTTCTTCTGAGCTCAGAAAATGCAGACCTCTCGCTAGGTTTTAACTCCCACCGGCATACCATTGTCTCTGTTGGTTCTGAGCTCTTGTCCGTGTGTCCTGTATCATCCACCGAACCAGTGTTTGATCCTGTCGATGATCCTTCATTCTGCACAGCCTTCTCTGAATCTGAACATCTGTTTTCCACTTCCTCTTGCTTAGGAGGGAGTTGTATCCAACAACAGCTCAAGAGTTTCTCTTGTGGGTTTATTACCATGGGGAATGTTTCGGATCTGGAGAGTTTCCTTGGTAATGGCTGAATAATAGGTGACGTTGTTAGAGAAGAGGACATGTCTGAATCAGATACCAAAACTGTCTTCCCAAAGAGTTTAAGGCTTTGCTTCGTCGGTTCCTTGACCAAACTCTCTCTTGGAAACAACTCCAGCTTCGTAGATGGGTCAACTACAAGAGTCTCAAGCTCTTCAGGAGCATTTTCAGTAGTTGCAGGAACAGGAGAAGGTGATGCAGAGGAGACTGGGGACAAGCTTCGGTTAGGTGAATGTGAATCAGAGGAACCCAATGCTTCTGATCCAACGTTGGACAACACAGAGGTTGGAGATCCACTGTCTCGCTCTGTGGGAGAAACTGATCTGCTTGTTTGATCTCCTTCGTTACCCAACTTGCGTGGGTAAGGATGCATTGGTTTTCTCTTGGGACGAGGAGGCGGTATCACAATTGGCTCCAACGAGTTCCCATTACCTCCAGATGCTTCTCTAGCAACCTGTGTAACAGAGCTAAGTCAGAACACACACACACAAAAAAATCTCCAAACAATGATAACATGTGGGTTCTTGGTACTTTTCTAATGTAACATATTTATTATTTGCAAATAAGTTTAAAGACCTTGGAGAAAAACTTCTGAGCATGGCTTCGAATCTGAACAGCAGTCTTTGTACCCACATGTTCTGTTAGTGAAACAAACATATTTTCTGGTGGTTCAGGTATTGTAAAAGACCAAACATAACTTAGTAGAAAATGATCATTCATTCAATTATTACCTTCTATTTTTCTCCATGCTCTCCCATGTAGCTTCAAGGCTTCAACAAACTTGCTGTGTTCTTCATCAGTCCATCTCTCTCTTTCTTTTGTTATCGTGTATGGTTTCCGCACCTATTATATTAGATATAAGCTGAGTCAGAGATCTTCACTTTTGACATAACAATATGTGACACATTAATTAGATGTCAAAGAGGCAAAACCTTGGTTGCATAGTCATTTCCCTCTTTGTCACTGAATTGTATCTTAGTTTTGGCACCCTGAAACAATCACAGCCAAAAGAGGAAACTTTTAGGAAAACACCGTCTTTTATGTTTTTTTTTTCTTACAAGGTACTATAAAAGTTATGTACTTTTATAACAAAAGTGGGCATTGGATCATTTACTTTCTACTTCAGTTTCTCAGCGTTTTCATTCACAAAAAAATCCAACGGTTTCAACTGTATTTAAAGATCCTAATTACAATTTACAAACACAATTCGCTTGTTTATATAATACCCAAATAAATCCTTGTTATTAATTTACAGCCCAATAATGTAATTGCGACACACTTAGAACATCGATTCATAAGCTAATCTGGATAAGGAGAAACTAGATTTTGAGTCCACACCTGAACATTAGTAGTCAACGGAGACGACGTCATAGCTTCCCGGATTTATAGATCTCGCCGGAGGTTATTAAAGAGACTAAAAAAGGTTAAACTTTTGAATCTGGAGATGGAAATGAACTTAATTTCTTCTCTTCTCCTTCAGATTCTAGAGAAGACCCACAAACGATTTGCTAAATCTCAGAGATTCCAAGAAAAGTTAAGCTCGCCGGAGTTTTAAAAAAGAAGGCTTTGGATGGTGTTTTTTAGCCGGAAGAAGAAGAAGGAAAGAGAGCAAATGAAGAAAGCAAAGAGAGAGAGAGAGAGAGAGATTTGTGGAGGAATGAAGAGTTTGGAGGGGTGAGAAAAATAGGAAGACAAAAGGAGGGGATGCCACGTCAGCTTCTGGTATGTGCGCTTTTTCGATTTTTTTAATTTTTATTGGTTTTCCATGGAACGCTCGAGAAGCAGATGAAATCTTGTGGCTCACGTTCAATGACCCACATTGCCACGCGTCGCTCGTGCCTGTAGTCACTTTCTCCAAAATAATTATTTGTAGTTGTTTCGGGAAATAATTTCGTAATAAAAAAAAAGAAAATAGATTTTGCTGGACCGAGAAATGGTAGCCACAAGTAGATTAGAGGAAGGGACAAAAAAAGGTATAACTCACGAGAGTATGATATTTTTGTGCTTACTCTCTATTATCTATCTGGCTTCTTCATGTTCATTGGTTTCCACTTCAAGATCTTTCTTTTTTTTTGATAAAAACAATTTTATCTTAATGAAAAAAAACAATTTAATGAAGTGGCTATCATTTATCATTAAATAATTTAAATTATAAAACATTACATATGATTTGAGCTTTTTGTGGTGGTAAACCGATGACATTTACACAAATCATTCACTTACATGTCATCAGCAGATTCTTATGTAAGTGTTTAAAATTTGTAAAATTCGTACGATCAGCTGCATCTTATTTGTCTCGGTGGTAATCTTTCAGTTAGTAGAGCATCAGAAAGCAAATGTGATTTTTTGAAATCAGAAGTAAGTTAAAATCCAACATCAAAAGAGATATTTGTTTTTTCTGTCTTTCCTTGTAAATATTAAGTTTTAAATATCTTTCTGCCTATATAAAATACCTGGTGTGGGTTCGCTTCATTACGAAAGCCTGGATAGATATACACCATAAATATAATTTATAATATATTCACATACGTATGGGTGGTATTTATTAATTTTGTAATTGTTTTCAACTTGTTCGTATTAATATGTTTATCCATTGTGCAGGTCGTAATCAATTTTCTTAATTGTGTAAGATAATTTAATTAACTCAATGTCAAGCATACACTATAACAGAAAATTAAATTAATTGTTATCTTATTTCGGGTGGAAGTGAAAGTTAATTACACTTTAGTTTAAAATAAAGTATATCTTGAGTGCACTTTTTGTCCAGGTCACTGATTCTTACATTCAGCCGACTGTTCTACAGAAAATGGACATGTGGAATGAAAATGAAGGGTTATAGACCACTCGTTTATTTTTTTATGTATATTTACTAACGTTCACCCAATTTCATACAAAATTCCTCAGCCACATATTTTTCTTCTCGTTGTGCTTGTGCCTTAGCACTTAGGGTTTCAAAGATGAGAAAAGTGGTTGGTGTGTGGCTTTCGTGTCCTTATTGTTATTATTACCATATCTTCGATTGCAATAAAATCCAACGTCTAGTGGAAAACCATATCTATCTAATATGACAATCATCACTTAGAAGAAAATCCAAAAAAAACATTACAAGACGAGATAACACGATTCCGTGAGTCGGCATGTGGTAGAAAATATATAGTAGTTCTGAAATGCTTCAAAACATTTCAGGAGGCGTACGAACAAAATATAAAACATTGCATACAATAAAAAAACCATGTATTAATTGTTTAATTGATAATTTAAAATTTTACCAAAAATAATAATCATCTACTAGTATATAATAAAATCACCCAGAAGGAGGAAGAATGTGTCAAAACTCAAAAGGCAGAGTAAAGCGACTAATACGACGAAGAATGTTAGGCTTGGTACTGATGGAAGTTAGGCACTAATCTTCTGGTTAGTGTGAAATGTCACGTTATATCATTGTGATGTTTTTCGTTATAGCCATGTGTATCGCGCGCTTTGTAAATTGTACACCATACAATATTTTCAAAAGGTTGTTTTATCTTTTGTGATATCACAACTTTAAATTATCAAAGCGTTGATCATTTCTAAATATATAAAACTACATTTCCTGTTGTTTTCTAACTAAAACTTGATCAACTGTACTTGATCGGTAGGACTTATAATAAACAACAACAGAGGATCACTTAGGATCATTTACTTGAGTGGAGAGAAAAAAAAGAATGGTGGGTGGGTCCATATACTTGGTAAGTATTTGATAAAGTCCATTGTCTATAAGCTTCTAGGATCTTAATTATGTGGTTCATATTTATTCGCCAGCATCTTTTGTGCCTGCCGCCTTTATAGCCAAACGGGATAAAAGTGTAGGATCAGATATTCTTTTGAAGTAAAAGGCTTCTGCGTTTGTGATAATCAGTGTTAAAAACATTGTGTGGTGTGTAAAAAAGGCCCTGACCGGTGAAACTATTTATGGACCAACCGTTCCTTTTGGATTTCGAGTGTGGTAGAATTGTAGGGTCAAAGTGTAGTAAGAAACAGTGTTGGGACACCTGTCACAATATGGTACTTATAATTTTCAGTGGTTGAAACGCTAAGAATATAATTTTAATATTCGTTGGTATATATTAATATATATGTCTATTCATCTTACATATCATCAATATATCTATTTAAGCAAATTTGTATTTTATCATTCGCTATTGAAATTACTTGGAAGCCCAAAAAAGCCACAGAAGAATTGTGATCTTAAGGAAAGATAACTTCAACATAAGTTGGACAACTACGATGATCCTTTGAACCGTTGATGTCCTTCAAAATAGTTTCATCAGAAATGCTCTTTATTTACTATTAGAAAAGGAGGAAGACGCATCAAAGTTCTTTAAAATCACTTCACAGATCCTCTGGACCGTTGATGTCCTAAAAGAACAAAAAGAACAAGTTGAGTCTAGTGATATAGTTCCCTACAATATTCTCCTTGGCAATATAAAACTTTCACAGAACGCAGTGTTAAACGTTACCTTATTCTCGAGCACGGATTAATCCGCAATTTCAAGTTTAGTCCCGGGGTTTGCCTTCACTGCCACTTTGCCTTTGACAACAACACCGGAGCCAAACCAGACATCACCAGAGACTTCAAGGCTATCAAACTCAATGAGAGGCTAGCAAACTCGGTTTCTCAGTGTGTTGAATTTTTGGGGAGTTTGAGGGTTTAGGGTGTACCTAAACCAGAAGTAAGTCAGAGGTTGATTTCACTGGAAGGAGCCGTGACCGAGGTTACATTCACACCTAAACTTACATACTCTTCAACAATTAGTGATGAAGTGTAACCTCAGATATTTCTGTAGATTACAACACTTCATGACTAATTGATGAAGATCATTTAACATATTACTAAATAAAACTTATTTTGAATAGAAATAAATACTTGAAATGAAAGCAATATCATAAAACAAACAAGCCAAACCGGCAACAAACATAACATTGTTTTATCTAAGGGCCTTCCCTTAGAAATTATTATAAGTTTAAAAAACCAACCAAAAGCATGAAAGATATGAGTCTGATTCATTAGAGAATCATCAGAGAATAATCTTCTCACTCAAAAACATTCTTTGAAAAAGATTTAAAGAGAACCAAATAGTTTGAGAACTTTGAAACAGCTCTCACTGACCATCATTGCAGTTAAGCATGACTTTAACCGTTTGAATAGTGGAGCTAATCAAGTAATTGATATAGGTGGTCCACTCCTCCATTTGTCCTTCAACAAAATTAGTCGAACCACCGGTGAGAATCTGGAAAGCCACCGTGAGGATCGTCTTACAATTGTCGAGGCCACCGTCTAGCTCATCGGCGGCGGAAGGAGGACGGGCGTCACGGGATATGATGAAACCGGATGGGAGGATTTGAACGTCTGAAGGGTTTGCATTGCCTGAAAAGACAGCTTCTGCTGTGCGTACGTCCACTGGTGCGTAGACCACCATACCTCCTAAAGCATCTATGAAGCTGTCTTGGATTATCATCATCAAGGCGCCATTATTCGTTGTACTTGAAGGCTATACACATACAGATAAACCAACATTAGTTATCAGATCAATAGAATCAACGTTAATGCAATGAAAAATACAGCAAACTGTAATGTAAATACTTTCATGCATGAGAAATAATATAGATGTTACTTTGTAAACATATGATATTTGATCTATTATAGGGATGATGAATCGACTTGCAGTTGATGACAACTAAAATGTGACAAATATGAACATACTTAACTTGACTCTATCCATTGATGTTTTTGCACTTTATGTATAACAACATCTCTATTGAAAATGTTACTGTTCTATCGGGTAAACCCTCTTAAAAAGTAATAATAAGAAAGTATGACTAATATATACGCGGAGGCAGGACCGATCCATGTCTATAATAGGCATTACCTCTATTCTATATATATATTTAAAAAAAATTTCTTCAGTTGAAAAAACTCAAAAAAATAATATATATGGATCTTAAACCATGACTTACTCTATCTGAGTTTTGGGCTGGATCTACACGGAGGATATTCACACAATTATTATTGTCTCCTCCAGTGACAAAGCGAGCGACTTCAGTGACCAAACTACTTTCGCAGAACTTGTCCCACTATTTTTACATACAACAAATCGATTCTTTGTTAATACACAACAATGTGAAAATAACTACATTTGTATCAAATTAAAAAAAAAAAAGCTGATTAGATATAGACCTGTGCAAGCAAAAAAAAGTTTACCTGGTGGCGAACCTCAACATTTTTGAGGACGTTGTAGACCTGGAGAGGAGCGGTAGGGAGACATAAAGACATACCAGCGCAGACAATGAAGCTGGGCGGTTGACCTGCTTTGTTGATTACCCGCGTCGAAATCCTTACTCCGCTACTACTGGTTGTATTCTGTTGCGGAAAACCTGACTTTTCGGGCATTTTTAGCATCCATGCGAAATCCTTTAACATTCTTTCTCCTAAATTCATGATGTTTCTCCTTCCTTTTATGGTTTGCACGACTATATGAAAAAAGAAGAATTAAAAGTATGTCAAAGTTTTAAATCATACTCCAACTGATTCAGAAAGTTATATGTTTTAAAAAAAATCATTGTGAAAATCATATTTCATCTTTTTAAGTAATATTTTTGTTAGTCAATATTAATAACTTCCAATTTTTTAAAATGTTTTTAAAAATAAATATTTTATTAGTATAAAATTGATAGCACAAAACAGTACATTTATTACTAAAATTGAGTGTTTTCCTGCACCATGTGCAGAGAAAAGTTTTTTTTAAGCTTAAATTATATTTAATAATAAATTTTACTTATATTATAGGTTTTATTATTTTCTTCCCAATATTAAATATAGATTTGATTTAATTAAAAATTAAATTAAGATAAAATATTTATTTAACTTATATCTATATATTTATAATTATATTCAAAACTCTGCATTGTTAAAATTTTCAATGTGGAACTTTTACTATTTTTAACAATTTATGGGCGTTTAAAAATTTCAAAATATAAGATATAAGAAAAAATCAAAATTTTTATTATATATTTAATGTGATTGTTTAATTTATTTTAATAATGAAAAATTAAATAAAAAGAGATATGACACCAATATGTATTATTATTCATAATCATTAATTGAATATATATTTTAATCATATTAGGTAATCCCGTAGCTTTTATTTAAGGAAAAAAAATATATTGTTTTTTACACTACTAATTATTTGAATAGTCAGTTAATAAAAACTAAACGGTGAAGATGAATAGATAAATTTAAATAATGCTTAAATATTTAACTATTAATTTTTTTTGGATTAGTGTTACTTTATTTAGTTTATTTTTATTAATGTGAAATACATATATATTATTATTTTAATTCTGATATATGAAATATTAAAATATATACCATAAATAAATATTTATATGGAAAATTGATATTATTGATGATAGATAAGTTATTTTTATTATCATATTTAAAATTCATCCAAAATAGTTTAAATTTTTATAAAGAAATTTTACATCTCATAATTAAAGATGATGCCATGTCATTTTTTATAAGTGTCATATCATATTTTTTTCAAGGAAAATGATTGTAGAAATAACATGTGACAAAATCACTTATCAAATATAGTCAATGAGATTTAATATATATTTTTAATAAGTAAAAGCAAAAGTATACATTATTAGAAACAGTTAAAAATATATAAAAGTCTTTTACGTAACTAAAACTAGCTTTTGTCAATTGGAGTTTTTTTTTCGAAACTCAACATGTTAGTAAAAATAATTTGGCTATCACACATCACAGATAGCAATTTGGCTAGATTGATAATTATATATGGGATTATGATATATATATATATATATTAAAAGTACCTCCTGGGTGGTCGGTAAGGGGAAAGGCAGAGACGTTGCCGAGAGACAGCCTCTCACACATTCTCTTAAGAGTAGTGGTCCAACGGCGGGCACCGTAGCCAAAGCCGCCGCATAAGAGGTCTTTGTAAATCCGATGTGTCCGCACTTTGTCATCTACTTCCACGTGCTCCATCCACGTCACCTGCTCATGTTGTTTGTCAAAGTTTTACTTGTAGTTTTATTGGGTTTTTGCAAAAACTATAGTTGAAATGTTTTACATTTTTCACTAATTTTGTTTTCGAGCAATATGATGAGAAGAGAGGAGACCTTAGAGAAATCATGGGGCAAGGCTTCGATGAGGCAACCAGAGGGACGTTTAGAGCAAACTGGAGTCTTAAATTGATCTACTTCATGGTACGACACATCAGCAATCACCCATAAATCTTCCTCCAGTTGTCGGCAAGATCTTAAGATCCTAAACTCTCTCGGTGGCAGCAATGGCGACAGTATGTGCAGTTGTTCATACACCTATGTAATGTATCGGCTCATTTTTGTATATTCAAGTAATTATATGTATATATTAAGAGTTAAACATGAACTTAGTAAAATGTAATAAGATTCATACCAATTTCGGGACGTATTTTCCTTGCAGATCTATGGAGTCCAGCATGTGAATCGTTTGAGCTTCACTCACAATTGTTGAGAACAGATTCGCCCATTTCTCCTGTAATAATTTATAATTTTAAAGCTGAAATAAACTTATAAAAAGGAGTAGATGACAAAAAAACTTATAAAAGTGTTTCTTGATTTTTTTTTGGGTTCAACACAAATATCTCAAAAAACTTTTATAAAATGTTTATGAAATATAATTAACATACCAAGAAAAATATATGCAAACTTTATATATATATATATATATATATATATATATATATATTAATTTTACTGAAGAGACAAAACTATAATAGTAAAAGTTTAATATAAATTAATATGTGATTGTGAACATCTTTATTATTTATATATGCTAATTAATATGTAAAAATATTTATGACAAAAAGATGCAAAGTTATAAGTGATAAACTAATGTAAGAAATGTAAAATAAAATACAGTATTAACCAATAAAAGTTTTGATAAAAAATGGAAAAAAACAAAAAAAAAATGGTCAAAATATAATGAAATTCCAATGATAAAATAAATTTAAAATATAAAATATCATAAAAGTCTATTTGTAAAGTTTTAACCAAATAACCCAAATAAATATAGATAATTAATATTAATTAATTGATTACTATAAATATAGATATATAGTATAGTAAGTTAATTTTTTGATAAAAAATAAATATTGGACCCCTAAAATTTGTCATGTGAGATGGCGTCTAGCCATCAAAGATATCAATTTATCTAAATCATTGAACACAGCTTTGACTATTTAACATTACATACCGTATGTAAGAGCATATCCACCAAGTCTTGAGCATTCATTTGAATCAGCACGACTTCTTTGGAAGACTCAATACGAGCATTTGGAATCTTAAAATGGCTAGACTTGATAAATTTTGCCTCATAGTACTTTTGATCAATGACGAGCCTATCATCAATTGACGACTTGATCCAAATGAGATCTTCTGTTCGAATCAGATTTACCACCTCCGTTACGGCACTTACCATTGCTTCAGTCATCTTCGCTTTCTCCATGTCAGATAGCGGCTTTCGTGGATGAGTTGGCTTGGCGATGTTTATACGTTCACGAGAGTATGGTTCCACGAGATGGTTGGAAGAGGTTCCATATGTGATATATGGATTGTTGGAAGCTGATGGGTACAATGGTGGACCATGGAGATAGGCCAACGCATTGATGGTAGGGTTTGAGTGACCTTCGCTCGTGTTTACCAGATTTAACAACCTGTCACGCTGTATCCATATTTGATCAACAAAAACATTAGTAGCATAGATAAACACACTTTAGTTTAAAAGAAACTATGACAGTTTGTAAAACCAGATTAATAAGGAAACAAATCAGAAAATGTTAAAGAAAAAAAGGAAACAAATCAGATTATTATTTACGAATTGGTTGAATCGATTGACTTGTGATAATTAATGACATCCTCTAATGTATTAAAGGACATGTAAAACTAAAAGTAAAAACATTCATCCAAATATACAATACAGTTTGTGCATTTGATACTTATATTTAATGAAAATCAGTTTTACTGTAAATAATCATATATAGACATCATTTGTAAACAAAACAAAGGAATAAGTCATTTATATTTTGTAATGTAGAATTATGAATAACAAAATCAACAATCTTTCTAAAAAAAACTATTAACATCATTGTAAGTAGAATATAAGTGTTAAGTGTAACTTCCAATTAAAACTGGTTTTCATAAGTTTACCATTGAGGTTTTGATGTTTAAACTTAAACATCTTTACTTCATTCGTTGTCTGAAATCATTTGGTTGCATAATTTTTCAATAAAAGCTTGTATATAAAAATTCACCTATTTACTACTATATTTTAATATATTAAATGAATGGTATTACTATGTTTAATATATAATATGAACAATAAGTCAAACAAACTCTGACCATTTTATTGGTTCTTTGTCAATTTCGTCAATGAATATTGCATGTATAACAAATAAAATTAAAACCAAAAAATATTTTTCTAATTAGTTATTAAAAAATTATATGTATATAATGTTATTTACATATTTATAATATGACTCATAAGTATATTAAATTTAACATTATTTAGTTGTATTATATTTGAATAACTAATTTTATGGTAAAAATTGGTAAAATTAAAATATGATACAGAAATCAGTTTTTGGTTCATGAAAATATACGCATACAGACAAATCCGCTTTTTAAAGTTGAATGTTGACTTTCTATGAAGCATTTAAAAAAAAAAAATTTATTCAAAAAAATATTACCTTTATATGAAAAGGAACTTTTACATTTAATAATTTTATATATAATGCTAATGCGGATTTGTTAAAATCTAATTGTATGTACACATGTTTTATAGAAGTACGTAAACAAAATATCATAAAGAATATTTTCATATAAGCGAAAAATTCCGATATTGTAGTGATTGGAATGTGAATTATCCAATGGATGATTTGTTTTGAATTTGTTTATTAATTTATTTATATCAGTTTTTCCTTCAAAATTGAACAATTTTAAAACATTTATTATTAGATTTGATAAATTAGATGGATGGTGAACCGACAAACCCTGAACAAAACTCTTCTTTACTTTTTGTTAATCTAATCTGTAAATACTTCATAGAAAACAAGCAAACTATAAATCGACAAGCCAAAAAGTTCAACTAACAAAATTATTTTTAATTAAAAGACTTGTTATGTTTTGTATATTTTATAGATTTATCCATTACCATAAGTATTTTAAGTTTAGCACTAACCAAGATATTCTAGTGTTAGGATTGGGATATTCATTTAACAAGGGAGCAATTGATGGAAAATCACATATTAATTTTAAACTGAAAATTTATGCATGAAGACACACCTCTTGTCTAAGATATGTGTTTTGTGTACGGAGGTTTTGGAGATCGAGTGTGCGTTCTCCTTGCCCAGGAAGAGGGCCACCACATGGAGGGCAAGTCACTGTGTTCAATGCCACTTGCATTGCTTCGTTCTCGCGTCTTATATTCATATTNGAAAATCACATATTAATTTTAAACTGAAAATTTATGCATGAAGACACACCTCTTGTCTAAGATATGTGTTTTGTGTACGGAGGTTTTGGAGATCGAGTGTGCGTTCTCCTTGCCCAGGAAGAGGGCCACCACATGGAGGGCAAGTCACTGTGTTCAATGCCACTTGCATTGCTTCGTTCTCGCGTCTTATATTCATATTCTCTGTTCTTAGTGCTGCATTGGCTGCTTTTTCATTCTGAGTCTGTAATTTGTTTATTAAAAGAAAAAAAATATTAATAATTTTGAAATCACCTTAAAATTTTCATATTTTTATTTGAATATGCAAACACCATGTAAACTCTATTAGTAAAAAAAATATATCCATACTTTAATTTCGACTAATAAAATAATGAACAGTCTTATTTGTTTTAGTTAAAGTAAATCAATTCATGTCATGTACGAGATTATAATAGTAGAAATAAATACTAAGTACGAAAAAATTACTTTGGTTTGTGTTCTTTTATTTTGAAACCAAAATTTGATTTGGTTTGCTTTAAGTTTCAGTTCTTCTCCCAACCTAAGTCGCTGCGACTCATCTGGATGAGGACACTCCTTGAAATACCTAAAATCAATTCACAAAGCATTAATTAAGAAGTTTTCATTTAAAAACTAACAATAAACCAAGTTAAGATCTTACGCTTCGAGTCTTTGAGTTTGATGATTAGTGTGGCGATGGTAAATCTTCTTATCCCCATCACTTGTGTTAAGAGATGTTTCCTGTTCATCACTTGAACTGCTATCATGCCTAGAAACCATTTTTCAACCCAAATGAAAGAAATATGCATAATCTATTAACCACTTAAAAGTTATTTATATAGAAAACTGTGAAAGATATATATGGTTTATTTTTTTTTCCTTAAATTTTTTTTCCACGGTGTAAAAGTTTATTCTATGACCTCAAACTTTTATTAATAATAAATGAAACAAATATGTTTTATTTTCTTGTCAATAAAAAACTCAAAACAAGACAAAAAGGAGCCATTTATTAAAAAAAATCTCATTGCATATTTTTTTCCTTTATAAATGTTACCGTAAAAGTATTAGAGAGATCCTTTTCTATTTATATTTCCCTGAAAATTAATTATTTTTGATTAGATTACGGATTTACAGCCAGTTACCACCTAGCGTACATTGGCTAAGGATTGGAGACATACTTTTAAATTAATAATTTAGTATATTGTCTAGCTATGGTTAAATCAAAGTGAAGTGCTTACGAACAAACTAGGTGTTTTGCCCGCAAATGCGGGCCTAAACATTTTATAATTAATTTATTAATACATATTTTACTAATTGAAATATTATAATGCTAAAGTATTAATTGTGTTTTATTTTTTGAAACCAATAATATTTATACTTTTATTTAATAATTCTTACATATATGTCCTTGTAATTTATGTTCACTAATAAAAATAGTTTTAAATCAAATAATATTTTTTTTAATTATATAAAATTAAGAAGTTGACTTGATTAATATTTACTTATGTATTTTCTATTGTTTTAATTTTTAAATTTTTATCAGAATATATTTTCAGATACATCACAATATATATCAGAATTATCTTATTTAAAGTTATATTTATTAGATTTTGGATAACTCTTATGATTATTATCAATTTTAGTTACTTATCTAATCAAAATAGTTTAACTTTGTTTTTATTTTGTATGTAATTTAGATATTATTTTCATTAAGGGTATAAACTATATTAACCACTCTAACTTTTAACGTGGAAACTCCGTTGTCAAAATTCACTTCGCAAATAATAGTATAGATATTGAAGTGCGGCTCTTTGTCATCCCCTAAATTAAAACTGAATAGTGTGAGTTTCTACTTCTAATAATAATCATGATCTTTTAATGATTAAAGCTAACTAGAAAACGACTATAGTTCATGAAATGAAAGAATGATTAAAAAAAAAACTCAGATGATTTATTTAATTTAATTTACAGATCTAGAGTTGGGATTTTTCTTGTAACTATATATATATATAAGTTATTAATGAAACAGTATATATATTTAAATATATATATATATATATATATATATATTTAATGCTATATTTAGCATATTTAGTCGAGACAAGTTATACTTATGGTTAGTAATAAAATTGTATAAAACAAATAAATCCAAATATAGTTAATTCCTATAATTTAACTTTGATAAGTAAAAATATGATACTACTGTAAATTTAGTTCATTTTATCACAAAATCATTATTGTCTTTTTGGGTTAATTAGAAAAAAACACTGCCGCTTACAGCTTTTATAAAATGATTTCTCTAGTTGTCCTACCTGAAGCTAATTTGTTTTCTTGATAATTAGAAACATTTTGCTGAATATAATTAGAAAAACAAGATTTTTTTTCTAATCGATGGGATTAGTTTTCAATAGATATCCAACAGTAAAAGCGCTTAGTTGGCTCCAGTTATACATACCTATCATTCATTCTCACTTCTTGATCCAGATATATTTGTTTCCTTACATATTAACAACGTGGCATAGCTTTATTTGGTCAATGATCATTCTGATTAAATGTGTTACTCGTTTCTAATATGTAAGGAATGCAAATCTTTGGTACTATTGGTCAATGATCGTTCCGATTAAATGTGTGACTCATTTCCAATATGTAAGGAATGTAAATCTTTGGTACCAATCCAAAGATACATATGGAGTAGGAAAACAATCTGTGAAGAAAACAAATCAACTTCAAGTAAGAAACTAAGGAAATAAATTTTAAAAAATCTGAAAAACAATGTACTTATAAGCAATCCATATAAGATGGATAAAACTTTGTTCAAGGAAATTAAATTCTCTAAATATTTTTTTTAATCAAAATATCAATTTAAAAATTATTCATATAAATAAAATATATTTTGACACATTGCGATATGTAAATTAACTGTCACAATCTGGTCGACCAAGTGAGGCTTTGTCAAAATCGATAAGTAAAATCTGAATAACAAATAATGTAACCTATAGTAGATATGGACCTAATCATTCAGTACCCCTGTAACAAAGAAAAATAATCAACACAATACCTTACAATATACTCCACTAAAAGTATTATGCAAAACAAACAATCCATTAAGCATATTAAATACCTGACACAAATCTACACGATAAGATCAAGATTATTCTGTTAGACACTAAAAATTTCCAGTCTATAATATTTAGTTAACTAATATGATTTTTTGCCAAAACTTATTTAAACTTTTATACTTAGATTAGGGACAAATAATTTAATTTTTTATATATTTAAAAAATCTTCTTAACTAATACAATTTTAGATATCTCTATTTTGTCACTCATATGAGTTTTATAAAGATTCCAACTGAATTTAAACTTACATGCTACTCATAATAACACTGCGTCTCTATTCATCTTATATTATTTTATAATTAATTATTAGAATAAAAAAATAAATTAAAAAGAATATTAACAAAAATAAATTAATAGTAAATTTTACCGTTGTTCTCTAGAATGAGATGTCTAGATACTTATTTTTTGTGAAGGATCTATAAAAATTTTGATTCGGAAAGAAAAATGTTAGAAAAGATGAAACTGAATTCAAAGATATGAAAAATACTTATGTGTATGTTAAAAAAAAAAAAGCAGATAGAACCCAATCGTAACCGTGAAAATATTTTTTCTCTATTCTATCAAATTTTGATGTATATATATAAAATAAATCAAACATTCTAGAATGACAAAATTTGACTAAAATATATTTTCCTACTTTATCGCATCTACATATATGATTATCGTATCTACATATGTTAGTCGAACTTATCTATTTTACATTGACCCAAATTCATATAAAATCATAAATATTTGAGTCGAATATAAATTTATATTTCCATTATAAAATTCAGCCCAATTCTAAGTTTCAAAGAAAATTAAAAGATTTTTAAGATGTTAAGATTTTTTTAAAAGAAAAACAAATACTCCCTCCATTTTTTTTAAGATGATTTGGTTGATTACACGGAGATTAAGATATATACCTTCTTCTTAAAAGTATTTTTAATGATATACTTTTAAAATCATTCAACCAATTATAAAAAGACTGAAGCTTTTTATTGGTTGAACAGTTTCCAATAAAGTTTAAGTTAACCTTAAAACTTCAAAACATACTTTAAAATTTCAAAACATCTTATATTTTGAAACAACATAAACCTTCTAAAACATCTTATAAAAAGAAACGGAGGAAGTATAAAAGTAATTGGTTAAAAATACAGGTTTATGTATCCATTTTATGCCCTAGTTTTTGACTTCTCCCATACACGCTTCCCTAGACACCGCCTCCATTTGATTTTTCCGACGCCGGTGGCTACCTAGCTCGCCGGCGTCGCCTTTTGCATCTTCTCTGTTCTCTACACATTCCACCATTGTCGTTTCACTTTTGCTTCATGTCATCGTCTCGTCTTCTCGCCCCCGTCCACCTTGTCCTCCTCTTCGCCATTGCCTCCTCCGTTCATCTCGTAGTCACTGCCTCTACTTCTCCCCTCGACGTCACGGCCACACCAGCTCCTCACGTCATCACCAAATGTGCTTGCTGCTCCTCCCTCCATGACATCCACTCACCTCTCCGACGGCTTGGCTTCTCGAACTTTAACTCCAGATCCGTTAAGTACAGCTCTCCTCAAGCTATTAAGACAAATCTTTCCGCCGGAGACACTCACCGGACACCTCTCACCCACCCGCTGCAAGAAACTCTCCCCTTCGTGGTCGGAGCCTGGAGTGATATCGACGAGACTCGTTCCTCAAGCGACATCTTCGACTCGTCTCCAATTTGTTGTTTCGCCGGACTCTTTGACTTCTCCGACGCGTTCCGAGATTTACCGTCTCCAACTCGTGTTGCCCTCCTCTCAGCTGTCGACAGTTACTCCGATGAGATTGGGATCCGAGTTATATCTATGTTGGGTCGTCTCGTCTCTCCTATGTCTCCCCTCTACACAGTTGCTCTCTCCCTAGACTGCTGCTACTTCGAGAATCACGCTGGAAAGTGTTAGCGTCCGTCAGCCGCCTCCGTCCACCTTTGTCTCATCCTCGTGACCAAGAAAACCCTAATTTGTTACTCTGAAGGTAACAAACGGGCTTGGGCTTATGCATCTAAAATGGGCCTATGGCTCAATCAAAATGCTTTGTGTGAGGTGAGCTTGGGCTTATGCTTCCTTTCCACCAGAATAAAAGCTGTATCGTCGACGACTCTGTGTGTAGTCCTATTCCGACAGCTTTTTCGCACTTCACTGCAAAGTCGAGAGATTTATGCAAACCGATCTCAAAACTCGTTAGTTGAGTTCTTCAAAGTCGATTTCGACGTTTGTGCGTTCTTTCGAATGCAGGCTTTAGGACTACAAGTGAAGTTTCTCTTTGGGTCTCTTCTCTCCTTAGCCACATCTATCTATTGTCTTGTTTCAATTAATTCGGTCTATCAATTTACCGTTGAGGTTTTCTCCGGCTGTAACCTACTTTGTCCATTGGACCTTTAATTTTAATATAAGCATTTGGTGTTCAAAAAAAAAGAGGGAGTATAAAAGTAAGTATCAAACAAATCAAAATAAGCAAT